TGCCAAAAAAATCACTATTACAATTACTATTACCACAACTGCTACAGCAGCAACAACAACAAAAACAACAACAACTACCTACCATAACCACAACTACAACAACTACTATTAACTACTATTATTACTGCCGCTGCTGCTGTTGGTGTTGTTGTTACTGCTGCTGCTTCTGTTTGCTAGTACTGCTGGAGACCGCAGCGTTAAACAAAAACCGTTCCGTAGACTCTTAGTATGTGTTACTTGCAGGACGCTCGCATTTATGGTTCTTTTGGCCAGAAAATGACAAGGATTGTGCTTGGCTGGATGATGGATAAGATGCAACACACGCGAAGCCATTCTTCAGCAAACCACCAAAAAAAAAAATGCTGAAACGGGATGTAGCTTGCACAAGGAAAGAGAGAGTGAAGGTGATGTGCAGCTGGAAGTCTTCCAAAAATGCAAGACCCACTTGGGCTTTTGCTTCTCCTATTTGCCCCTTCAAGCACTGCGCCTTTCAGCAAACAGAGTAGGATACTCTTGGAAACTCAGCTCAATTCGTATCCATTGTGGGCGCAGAAAACGACATGGGGTTGCAGTGCCACTGCACATAGCTGTCGTAGTATGCAGCGTCGAGCGGTCCTAAAAGATAGCATGTGACCATCATTCAGAAGGAGAAGGCCACATCCATCTTCAGCTTTACCCCTAGTCTCCCTGTTTATGATCTAGATTGTGCTGGGACAAACATTTGGCCTCGACCATAAGTCCTTCTATGACGGATTTATGCAAAAACGCCTGGCTCTGATGGACCTTCCGCCCCAAGTGCGAGGGCAATTTGCGTGAGCAAACATCAGAAGAGCAATGCACCATGCGCATGCAGCCCAGTCTTCTCAAGAATGCCACTCTCGAAGCAGTACAAGACAGAAGTGGTGGTGTGCATCAGGCGCCAAGCGCGAGCGCACTTTCTTAGGCAATTCTGCCCATGAGGGCCAGACACGACAATATTTGTTTTAAATATAAATTCGGTGAATGTTTGCCATATTCCTGTATTTACAGGTCAGGCTCCAGTAGGCTAAGCCCCAAGCCATTCCAAGGCTAAGCATTAGGAGTTGAAATCATTGGCGAAGCGCACTGGGGGGCCCCGTGCGATTATGCGTTTTTGCAGTGTTTCGTGCTGTAATAAGATTACTCG